CCAGGAGACTGAATTCTGACCCATGGAATCTGGGCAGGAGGGATGCTGCCACTTCCAGGGCTGGGTCCTAAAAGGCTCTCTGTGCCTTCTCTGGTAGCCCACTCAGATGCAGCTGATGCAGTGGAGGACTCCCCAGAGCTCCTTCCATGCAACACATAAAGCGGCCTTCTCGGCAGGCCACACACACCAACTCACCTCACCCTCGCCACGTGGTGTGGGAAGTGCTGCTATCAGCGCCTCTTACAAATGGGGAAACTGAGGCACCGGGAGGGGTTTTTTGTTGTTGTTGTTGTTGTTGTTTGTTTTGGTTTTTGTAATTTTTTTGAGCAAGTGATCTGAAGTTCACACAGCTAGTAAATGGCAGAGCCCAGAATCCAGCCCAGGCAGCCCACTTACCTGCCATGAGTGCTGACCGGAGGGCCTCACCCGTTAGAGACCCCAGCGGTATCAGCCTCACTCATTGCCCGGGGAGACTGAGCTGTGGAAAGCCTTGCATCCACCACACTAGGGAAATATTGGCTATTGTGGATGGGGTTCAGGAACGTCTGTGGGTGATGTTTCCAGGGAGCAAGGGTGCCCTTTTCCCTTCTTGCACACCCAGGTGTGCATGCACCTCATGATTCACACCTGATGCCCTTCTGGGACCAGGGGCTGTCAGGCTCATGATGACTACACCCTGGTGCTTGGTGCTGAGTTCTCCCTGTCTCTGAAGGGGGTCTGCAGTAGTCACTGACTGATCCACACACACACACCTTCCTCCCTCCCTCTCTTCTCCTGGACACACCTCCATCCAAGAACTTTCAGGCCGATCCAGGTTGATACTGTCCCTGTTAACGGGCAGTGACGGTTCCTTGGGCCACCCAGCCTCCATTCCTGTTCTGGGGCTTTAGGACACATCATCCTCCACATGTCCCCTGTAAGCCTGACCCCACTCTTGACTCCCAGAGCACAGGATTGGTTCATGGATGCCCATGTGACTCAGTCAGGCACAAACTGGGCTGGTATTGGTTGAGGAAGAGAAGCTCGCTCTTTCTCCCAGGGCCAGCGCTGCAGGCCGCCATCCTGCCCCAGTTGCCTGAGCAGAAGCCAGTGCAGAAGGAAGCAGAGCTGGGAAATCCGGAGACCAGATCTCAGTTGCACCATCAGGCCCAGGTTTCAGCCAGGCATGGCTATTTCAGTAAAGGGAACCACTGAGAGACACACCCTCCCTTTGGTTTTCATGAAGCCATTTTGAGGTGCCTCTTCTGTCACTTTTGGCCAGAAGATCTGACACAGCCCTTTGTCTCCTTGACCCTCTACCAGCTCCCCTCCCAAACAACCCCACACACCACCCTGTACCCCAGCTGCTGCCCTGGACTCCTACAGGGTGGCAGGCCTGCTCTGCATCAGCCTGAGAGGTCTGGATTTGCCACCGGGCACCAAGACGGGAGTGCCCAGGGTGCTGCTCACTGCCCTCCTGATGCCCATCTGGCAGCAGCTAGGCTTGGCCACCCACCACCAGGAGCTGATTCTGCAGTTCTCAGAGAGAAGGAGCAAGGACCGTGCCCCTGGCATGGCTGCTTACGGGCCAGTCCACCTTCACGCACCTTGCATTGGCCTGGGGTGCCCTGGCAGAGAGCCATGACTCCAGAACCCAAGGTGCTTAGCAGGCTGGGTCTTGCCCCTGCCTCGGGACCTTAATGAAGACAGATCTCCGTATTGATCCGGTGCTGGGACATCTACCCCAGACCCTCAGACTGTAAGTCAATAGCCTGCTGCTTTCTCTGCTCATGTTGTCAGGAGCACAAATAAATGTGCAAAGCTGTTCTATGTTCCAACACCCATCCTGTAGCCCCAAGGCCTGGAGCATGATTCACGGCCCTGGATGGTGAAGGGCGGGTGGGACACCACCCTCACAGCAGCTTTCTTAGCCTCATCAGGGCTAAAATCCACCCATTCTGGGAGCTGGCCTAGCTTAGCCCAACTCTGCCCAGTGTGTCAGATTCACAGGCAGTCCGGCACTGGGCCTCCAAAAGCAGACAGCAGGCTTCCGATCCTAGCTTGTCACTTCCCAGCATTAGGACCTTATTAATGGGCTTCCCTGGTCCTCAGCATCCTCATCTGTAAGACGGGACCTTAGTAGCATCTACCCAAGCACAAGACAAACCAAAGGGCTCCGGGAAATCATGGGGCCACCGGAAGTATAGGGGGGATGTTGGCTGTTATCAACGTGAGTATATGATGAGTAGACATCATCACCCTCAATTGCTATCCCTGGGCAGGGCCTCCAGAGTCCCTGCCTCCTGTAATCCACGCATGCCTTTCATCACACACACGCACACGCACACACACGCCAAGTTACATCAGCATTCATTCCCAGTTTGCCTACAGCAGATTTTTCACCTGAAAATTCAGGACTGCTTGCTGGGTGCCTCTTTCTGGCCTGGCACGTAGGGACCCTGCCCTCGTTCTGCTGTCAGAGACACATGTCTGCAAAGCCAAGCGAGTTTGGGAAAGGAAATTTGTTGTAAATTGGAATCCTAATGCATTCCAAATAGAGGTGATTTTCGCCTTGTTGGCTGTGTGGACAGAACCGTGCCACTGCCTCCCTCCTTGGGGTGGAGAAGGGCAAGAACACGGCCGTTGTTCAGTGTTGGATGCTGGGTTTGAGTCCCTCACAGAATCACAGTCCAGAATCTCAGAGCTGAGAGGCAACTTTAAGGTCACGGTGTCCCCGGCAGCTCTCACGGAAGCTGCTCCGGGCAGCCTGATTCCCCTGGGCCCCAGCTCCTGAAGGCCTGGCCCAGGGCTCTTCATGCAGTTGATTTCCAGGTTCCTTGGGCTCCATCTGTTTGGGCCTGAGAATCTCCTGCCTAGTTCTTCTAATAGGGATGCTCAGAGCGGGACTCCACAGCCTGTGCTGTGTGCAGCCCTCTGTCTCATGGCCCATGGCACCTGCGGCACCTAGATCTGGGTCTCGTCCATCCGTGGTGACATTGGCCAAGACCAGAGCTGGAACATCCTTCCTCTCCCAGGAAGCCTGAGGCTCCAGAAAGCCCCTTTCCCTCAGGGAACTTCATCTGGGCTCTAAGATCTCAGAATTCTCTTCCACGGGTGACTATCTGAATTTTGTCAACACCCTCGTGGCTGCAAAAGATCCCGAAGTGGGCACAGCAGGGAAGAAGCTATTGGAAGGAAGCATTTCCTGGGACCTGCCCCAAATGGGAGGCAGGGATTGCTGGACAAGCCAGCTCCACACCCTCTCCAGCCTCCCTCTCCTAGCACTGCTGAGCAGGATGTTGATTTTAAGAGAAGGAAGGCAGCTGCCCATTCCATTGGCAATTAAAAGGCCCTGGCAGCAGCACGGGGCTTAGGCTGAGAGCTGGGAAGAGGCTTAATTAATTGCTCTAGTCCTTGGGAGGCTCATCAGCTCAGCCAGGAGCTCCATCGATCCGTACTCTCACACCTGAGAGATCCTTGTCAGGAGAAGCCAGAGGGTCACAGGGCTGAGGAGGGGACTGATCCCCTAGGCAGGAGAAGGGCCTGCTTTTACCCTCAGTGCCCCATAGCACACACACCAAATCACACCCACCCCTACGCACACATCCGGCACGCACAGATGCACCTTCCCATACAACAGTCGAGGGCCTGTGGGCATGGGGATCCTACATTCCTGTTTGCCTGGGACACCTCCCCTTTTACCTGTTATTGTGATGTAATTATTAATAGTACCTTTCCTAGTTTAGAGGATAATTTGCCTGGTCGCCTACTTGAGGGGAGCTTAGGAGCGTGACAGGGGTAGGCGCAGATAGGAGAGACACTCCCGAGGATGGAGACATCCGTCCTGTGTGCTTTGTTCTCTGCCCAGATCCTGTATCCTGGGCAGAGGCACCCTGGGCATGGCTAGTGAAGATTGCTATATCCTCCTCAACTCAGATGAGGATTCCCCCGTGTCAAATTCAGGAACACGAATCACGTGATACTCTGCTTCAAAAACTCACAGTGTGGTGAAAACCCTTAGCTTTTAGGCAGGGTAAATGATTATATCTCCTGTTATAGATCACTAAAAGCTTTCCTATTGAGCTATCTGCATATCTGCTGCATGGTTATTGGTGTCCAGGAATGAGTTTTGAACTGTAAGTCCCCAGGGAAGATGTGGAAAGCATGCTGCATCTTGGATGTCAGCTCTGGATCTCGGCTCTCACGGCTGCCTGCTGGATTGGGGTAAGAAGAAGGATTCCAAGGCCGTGTCCCAGTTGAACCTGAATATCGCGATTACATCTGCCTGGGGCACAGGAGATGCATTGGTGAGATCCTTGACTGGCATCTGTCACGCTCGTCCCAGAGGGTGTCAGAAGTCCCAGAGTCTCTCTCTGCAGAAACCTGGCCTCATGCTGTGCTTGAATGAACGTCTGGGAATGACACTGGGAACACTCTGCATTGCCTACAGGGCTCTCTCTCTGCAACTGCCGTACAGACTCACTGCAAAGAGGGCACCGTGTTGGCTGCCTGGCATTGGGAAGACAACTGGACAAGTCTGGGACCAAGAGATAGCTTGGGAGGGAAAGATACCTTCTCAGACTAGCTTCAGCCCTTGGAGAAACGGTCTGTCCCTGCCCAGTACCAAGCACAGCTGTGAGACATCCAAAAGGATGCTTGGATATCCTGCCCCTCTCTGCCCCGCCTTTCTTCCATCAGGCCTCAGCCCCCAGCTTCTCCGGCAGGACAGCGGGGAGCCTGGCTCTCTCTCTTGCTCTCTGAACCTTACTCTAGCCTGCTTATTAAAAGAATTCCACCCTTAGACACAGAGGCAGCAATGCAGAAGCTTTCTCGGCTCCACAGTCAGAGCTGTCACTTCTGTGGCAGGTGTTTCTTTGAGGTCTGTTTGGTCTTTTCAGTCACAACCACCCACCTCAGGCAGGATGTTGTGTGTTCTAGGGTATCAGAGGAAGTATTTGCAAACAAGGCCCATCTGTTCAAATGAGAAACAGGCTCCTCTCCCAAGCCTCACAAGGTCGCAAAGCCTGCAACGTCAGACGCTCTGCTGAATCCTTTATTATCTATCTTTCCAGCCAGCAGCTGATGAGAGATTGCGTGTGTGCTGACTCTCAGCTCTTTCAAATCATGTTGATTCGAAACTCAGCTGATCCGGAAGGGGCCGGTCCTCCATGTTGGCCATTTCAGGTCGGCTCCATAAAGGATGCAGAGGGTGGATTTTCGTGGTGGAAACACACGGCTGATATTCACAAAGCTAGTCCATCCAGGCACATGAGAACAGGTGAGCTTTGGGAGAGTGGGTGAGGTGCAGGTGGCAATTAAGTCGCTGAGGTGTGGTTCCCATGTTGTCAGTGAAAAGATTGACCTTCCTGACGATATGACTGAACCGTGGCTGATGTCACAATCACCCCAAAAACAATCACACTGGCTGAATTATGAAGGTGAAGAATTCCGGACCCCAGAAGCTCCATTTCACCAGTGACAGCAGCCAGTGAAGAACCATGTCCACGTACCACACTGAGGCTAGGCCTCCGGATCTCTCCATTTTTCCCTTGGACTTTGTCTCAATAGTCCTATATGATATCCAAATAGCTACCTAGGTTCAACCCAAATCCCTGACTCTGGAATATGGAGGTTTAAACGGCTTAAAATGTTCCAGTGTGGAGGCAGATGAAGGAGACGGAGGGTCCCTCCCTTCAGTGACTGTGGGGCTGCTTCTTATAAAGGGCCGATTTTGAGCACTTTTCCTGAACTTGAGGCACATTCGAAGCTGATTCCAAGTAAAACTATTGAGCAGCTCCACTTTTAATATGTTGGTCCCACGGGTTCTTGGTACCTGTTGAACTGCCCTAAAAACAGTCCCTAAACCCACAGACATTTGGTGTCACTGGTCTTAGTTCAGGCTCACCCAAGCAGGTCCTGACAGGAGGATCCCATGCACCTTTAGAAGATACAGGACCACCGTCAGGGAGGTGGAAGGGGACAGGAAGGACACGCAGCCCGGGAGGAGCAGGGGACCAATCGAGCAGCTGGGGCTTGGTACTCCGGGGTCCTCCCGAGACCCGTAGAACAGATGCCTCCAAGTCCTCCCTGCTGAGGGCAAGGTAGCTGGGGTACTGATACACCCGATCCCCTCAGCCACTAGCTGAGGGTGCTCTGGGGGAGGGTGTTCATTTCCCCTCTTCTGACAAAGCAAACTTTTTTTTTTTGCCCAGGCTGGAGTGCAGTGGCGCGATCTCCACTCACTGCAACTTCCGCCTCCCGGGTCCCGGTTCAAGCAATTCTACCTCAGCCTCCCAAGTAGCTAGGATTACAGGCATGAGCTACCACACTCAGCTAATTTTTGTATTTTTTAGAAGAGATGGGGTTTCACCACGTTGGCCAGTCTGGTCTTGAACTCCTGACCTCATGATCCACCCGCCTCGGCCTCCCAAAGTGCTGGGATTATAGGCATAAGCCACTGACAAAGCAAACTTTTACAGCTTTAGAAAAAGCCCTCAGGCAAAGAGATGCAGATACTGGCAGGTGGAGTCAACAGGAGACCATGGAAGCCACCAGACCCTGACTAGTGCCAGCCACAGCACACTCTAGCTCAGAGCCTGAGGTGACCTTCCCGTCCTGGGCACAGGAGACAGGAAATTCAGCACCAGCCCTAGGCTTAGGGCCTGCGGTGGCTGCCATCTCAGGGCCCAGGGCTGGTATTAGCCACACCAGTGGGTGGCTACTGCGGGTGACAGCCACATCGCCTCCTTCTCCCACCTTGTGTGCCCTGTCCTATCCTAGAAGCCCCAGGACAGAAACTTACACCAGCCTCTTTGCTCAGTCCCAATGCCTCTACCCTTTCCTGCTGCCACCTGGACCACAGAAGGCAGGGCCAGGCCCGGGGCAATCATATGCTCCTGGAAACATCTTGGAAGTCCTTAAGTCCATGACCAAAACACAAGTACCCTCTGGCTGGAGACAATCAGGAGCGATTACAAAAGGGCCGCTGTGTCCTTTTCTTTCTGGCAGCAGCTGTTTCTGTCATGTGGTCTGGAGAAGTCCAGATGTGTTTGCTCAGGGTGCGGAGCCAGGCCCTCCCAGCAGAGATGAAAGAGCGGCAGCCCCAGCAGCTGGTACACAAAAGAGGCTGCTGCAGATCAGACCCCGGGCGGGAGGTCTCACAAGCCACTGGGTGGGCCGGGACGTTTCTATGGAGAAGGAGCCAGCACCACGTGCAGCACAGCAAAGAGGCGGCAGCAGCCACAGGCCTCCCGGCCCGGGGCGGGCGCTGCATCGCCTGACTCCTGTGCCCAGGGGCGGAAGGTCACCTCGGGCTCTGAGTGGCAGTGTGCTGTGGCTTGCGTTAGGCAGGAAACCCTGTGAGAATAGGCGTTTTCTCCCAGAGGCAACTGGACTTGAGCAAGAGGGTGTATACAGAAAGCTTGGCTGCTGTGTTTGCAGCACAGAGGGCGGTGCAAATGGTCCATCGGCCGAGGAAGAAAGGCTGATGCAGGGGTCACAAAAAGACAGGGCGCATGACAGCACTGGTCAGGAACTGTGAGGGGTGGAGCATGGGAGAGTCCCCTAGGACGGCCGTCCAGTGTCACAGGTATGGGATAGAAGGGGCTTCCCCCAAACCTGTTCCTCTCCCAGGTTTCCCTGCCTCTGTAAATGGCAACTCACTCCCCAGGCCTCAAGCTGAAAACCTTGGAATCATCCTCCACTCCTCCCTGTCTCCCACACCCTTCACTCTAAAAGCCCTACTTTAAAAAGGCGTCTACCATCCGGTCACCTCCAGCCACTTCCTCTGTTGCCACCACAACCTAAGCTGCCATGGTCTCTGCCTGTGTGTAAACATTTACTTGCCCTCCATCCTCTCTTAGCTGTTCTCTGGCTGAAGTGTCTCCCTGGCACTTCTCTGCACATGACCTGTTCCCTATGCACGTGCTCCTTCGACCATGGTCTCTTTCTCTTTCTCCCCAGTGAAATATGGACATGGCCTCTTTGCCTCTCCTGCACGCCCAGTGCTTTGAAGAGTGCCTGGCACAGGGTAAGGAAGCATTTGTTGAATTCATTGCAGCTGAAGACTCCAGACCCTGCAGGTATCACTCTGCTGTGGGTTTGTCTTGTCCCCTTGCTCAAGGGTCCCAAAGCAATTCCTAATATTTTCCCCCACGGGAGAGTGAGAAAGAAACAGCCTTATCCTAGAATGCTGGAAGAAATACTCAGCAATGGTAAGTAATATGGGAGTAGGAACACCGTCATTGCACTACCTCTGTCTAATCCTCAGGGGGTCTAGCCTACGGCACTGCACTGTCTTTAATCCTCAGGAGGTCTAGCCTATGGCACTGCACTACCTCTGTCTAATCCTCAGGGGATCTAGCCTACGGCACTGCACTATCTCTGTCTAATCCTCTTGAGGTCTAGCCTATGCCATTGTATATCTCTGTCTAATCCTCAGGGGGTCTAGCCTAGTGCAGCTACTCTGGACATTCATTGAGTTGAATTAAGTGAACAACCTCCCTTCCTGGTAGCCCACGCTGGGCTCTGCCTCCTGCTTAGGGGCTCATCCTCTGTGTTCTCTTAGCTCCCTGAATATTTTTCTAAATTAACGCATGTGACACTGTCTTAAGGATGACCCCTCTGATGCTAGCAGTGAGACTTTGTTCTCGGTATCCCTGGGTCCATCTGGTATTTCGAAGTCCATGTTCTGACACATGACAGCTGCTCAATGAGGTCAAATGGTGAATGAATGAATGAATGAATGAAAAAGAAAAAGCAGGATGGTGAACCCCAAACCAAAGTTAGCTAAAACCTCCTGGAACCAGCAGGCATGACTACCACCCAAAGATGGTAGGACTAGATGAGCCGTTGGAAAGACATGTCCCTGCCCAGGCTAGTGGGAGAGGCAGACGCCCACATAAGGGATGCATGCAGATAGGTCCAGCGACCACATCAGCACACATGCTTAGCTGCAGGCAGCAGCTCAGAACCAGCAGGTGACAGGCATGCCAGAGCCATCCAGAAAGGCTCCCTGAGCCCTGGCAGGTCCAATCCAGGCAGAGCCCTAACTCTGCTCAATTGCAATCTGTGTTTATGAGCCCATAATCAAATGGAAACTGAAAGTTTCTCATGAGAATCATCTGTCAAAATTGTGCGGTGCCCAGGCCCAGCGCTGGGAGGCTGGGTTATAAATTCTGAGCTCCGCTCCGGCTCTGCTCCGTCTCTGGGGACTCGTGGGTCATTTTTCAACCCAGCATTAATCCGAGGAACTCGATCTTTGATCAAACACTATGTCTTACAGCCTGGGTATTTGGGATACTGATTGTCCACTGTGGGATCGGGAGTGGCGGACAGGGGCTAAGAGTAATCACGGGCAGAGAATCCGTGAGCCAGGCTCGCCTCTCCCACAAGCTGAGCCGCTTGCACAACCACCTGCATCCCGACCCCACCTGACAGCTGCCCTTCACTGAGCAGACACCTCCAGGCTCCCACCACAGCCTGTGGTGACTACGGAACCCTGAACCAAAGGGCCTGTCACAGAACCACGTCTTTTAAAGACATGGTTTTCCTAATTACAAAGGAGCTCAATGCAGTAAAAGTGGAAAACCAAAAAGCACAAAAAAAGAAAAATTGCTCATAATTCTATATCCTGGAGGAAAACTCTTTAACATTTTTGCTGCATAGATTTCTAGCCTTCTTCCTCTCTCCTCCTGGCCCTTTTTCTTTATAAACACACGTACTATTTTCTAACCTGCTTTCCTTGCCATTCACGGCCCCTCCCCTGAGACTAGTCCATTATGACCATTCTGCCATGTCACTATCTTTCCCATAGCACGGTTGTTAATAGCCACATTCATTTTCTTGGTCAGTCCCTTTTATTGAGCAATTGGTTGGCTTCCATTTCTCCAATCGCATAGAAGATGCTGCAAAGAACGTATTGTACATAGATAGATCTTTGTACACATCGGAGTATCTTCTTAAGATAAATTCGTAGGAGTAAAATTGTGCAGGGGGTCAAAGAATCTACATTTTTAAAAGTCATTTGATACTTTCTACACTGCGTCTCATTGTGCATTCATGTCGTTAGCAATAGCCAACTATGGGCCGGGTGTGGCGGCTCATGCCTGTAATCCTAGCACTTTGGGAGGCCGAGGCGGTCAGATCACTTGAGATCAGGAGTTTAAGACCAGCCTGGACAACCTAGTGAAACCCCATCTCTAGTTAAAAATACAAAAAGTAGGGCCAGGCTCAGTGGCTCATGCCTGTAATCCCAGCACTTTGGGAGGCCGAGGTGGGAGGATCCCTTGAGGCCTGGAGTTTGAGACCAGCCTGGCCAACATGGTAAAATTTGTCTCAAAAAGAAAAGAAATAGCCAACTATTGGGGGGATAATTTTAACTGGTAACCACCTTTGAGTAAGAGCAGAGTAAGCAAACTTCTTATCTGCCACTGACGGCCAGATGGTTCCTCCTGCTTCTTACACTGGTTCACAGTTCTGCTTACACAGAACCACAGTTCATCTCCTCTGGATGCAGCTCTGGAGACATGGTGTGGTTGAGAATAGAGGCTCCTCTTAGAAAATCAACTCTGAACCCCCAAACTCCTTCTGACTGTGTTGGGTCTTTAGAATTTATTGAAAAGGTAACACGGTGCCTGCTCTTGGCTTGTGAAGACTTTCACCTGAACACGGATACTTAATTAGGTGACCTGGTGTGGGGAGGTCTGATGGAGTATGAAGGCAGGGAAGATGAGTCAGCTGGCTTAGAGGGGAAAGAACAGCAACTTAACAATGACAATTAGAAGGGTTAAGAAGAGCAATTAGATGAGAAAGGGTTTTGAATTCCCTGGGAGCAGGGGAAATGAGAAGCTTCTTTTCTGCTGCTGAGCTCTATGAAAGCTTGCATGCACATGTGGACAATGAAAGCTTAGAGTCACCCCGGGTGGCCCATTTAAATGCACCTAAAAAGTCATGAGGCACAGGGAGGCAGTGCAGAGCCATTGCTATTCATCATCCATCCATTCCTTGTTCAAACTCTCAGAGGTGACCTCTAAGCCTCCCACGCAGAATGTTCCCTTGAAGAACACGCATCAGGGCACCCAGGGGCAGGGCCAACCTTTGGGAGAATTATAAATAGAGAAAAAATTGTCTTTGGGGGTCTTTCCACCTCCCTGGCAGTGACTTTCTTCCCTGCTAGTCTCCCCATCCTTCCAAAGTCCAACACCAACTACCTGATGTTGTCCTCAACAGACAACTGGCGAGGCAAGAAGAACACAGGCTTTCGGCCAGATTGGCCTGCATCTTACCTTGCTGTGCAATCTAAGGAAATTACTAAACCTTTCTGATCTTCTGTTTTTGCATCTGTACAATGGGGGTGGAAATGCTGGCTTGATTTCTTCTTGTTGTGAAGTGAGATGGCTAATATATTCAAAAGCACGCGGTTGGGTGTGGTGACGCATTCCTGCAATCCCAGCACTCTGGGAGGCGGAGGCGGGCAGATCACTTGAGGTCAGGACATTCGAGACCAGTTTCGCCAACATGGTGAAACCCTGTCTGTACTAAAAATACAAAAATATTAGCCGGGCGTGGTGGTGCATACCTGTAGTTCTAGCTACTCAGGAGGCTGAGGCATAAGAATCGTTTGAACCTGGAAGGCGGAGGTTTCAGTGAGCCAAGATCGAGCCACTGCACTCTGACCTGGATGACAAAGTGAGATCCTGTCTTAAATAAAATAACATTTTTTAAAAGTACCCAGCACACAATTTACACATAACGGACACTCACTGAATATTATTTACCATGTTTTTCATCTCAGCATCCAGGGATGCTGTTCCCGGGCGGGCTGCGAACCCGGTGCTGTGACCCTGGCTCGGGCCTGTGTGCTCTGATCCCTTTGCAAGAGACAAGATCAGTTATGTGATGCCAAATGCTGGTGATCCTTCAGGAATTTAAGGAAATAATGATGGATTTAACTACGAAATTGTTCTTGACATCATTGTTTCCAATCCCCAAGAAGCAGATGCGATCTAAATAGCAAATGCGAGAGTAAATAAAATAGAAAAACGTCGCTCTCATAAAACACTGTCAATATCAATTTTGGTCAATCTGTGAGGTTAAAAAATGACAATCCAATAATCTTTTTATCGGCTCTCTTTCTTTCAGTGTACGCTGCTTACCCTCATTGCGGGTACATCTTTATATTTGGTTATTTTAATTTTTTCTTACGGGTTATCTGAATGCTTCGTGAGTTAATGAATTGGCTTCTTGTCTGTGACTGGTGCTGTACATATGACTTCCCATTTGCCCCTTGTCTTTTGACCTCCATAGTCTTTTGTCTTTATTTGACCCACACGGATGCTTTCCTTTTTCTGAACTAGATTGATCGATCTTTTCCTGTGTGGCTTCTGGGTTTAGTTTCTCACTTTGGAAACTGGTTTCCAACTGCAGCATTGTAAATATATTTACCCAAATGTCTTCAAACACTTTCATTGCTTCATTTTTTCCCTTTAATGTTTTAATCCTTGACCCATTGGGGATATATTTGAGTGTAAGAAGTTAGGTGAGGATCCCGCTTTATTATAGTTTTTCAAAGGGTTGGCCAGTGATTCTGACAGTATTTACTGAATAATCCCCCTTTCAGACAAACCATTTCAATAATTCCTTTTGTGAGGGGGTCACAGAACCCTTTGAGAATCTGATGAAAGCTACAGATCTTCTCCCCAGGAAAACAATGTGTGCCTGTAACACACACTAAATTTCACAAACAATTCCAGCAGGACACACAGACCTTCAAGAGCACATCCGTTGACTCCCAAGAGGTCTGTAATCTCCAGTTAAGAACCCCCTCCTTTATGTGGAAGAAACAGTTCTTAAATAGTGGGATTCAGCCTCCAACACAGATCAGTGAGGATCCATCTTGTAGTGGAAAATGTGCTAAAAACAGTCCCACAACCTGCTCAAGGCAGGAGACTCCAGTTTACCATTAAGGCTCTTGGGTACCCCAGGCTTCCACCATCTCATGTCCTGGGAGCTTAAAACCTTCCACTCACCATTCTGCTGGTTCGGTGTACCCAACAGATAGCATGTTAACCTGTCTCTGGAGTGCAAGTAGCCCTCATTGAACAACTCGCTCCTGAACAAAGGGGGCAGGTACATGTACATTGCTTCATGTGATTCAGTTTCCCTTGATTTGCAGCCCCAAGCTTTTTCTTGAGACAGGGTCTTGCTCTGTCCCCAGGCTGGAGGGGAGTGATGCCATCATAGTTCACTGCAGCCTTGAACTCCTGGACTCAAGCAATCCTCCCTCCTCAGCCTCCCGAAGCACTGGGATTACAGTCATGAGCCACCGTGGCCAGCCAGCAGCCAATTTCAGACTCCATTTTCCACCCCAGATTTGCCTACTCCTCCTGAGATTTGATCTTTTGGGTCTTGCATGTCCATTCTCACGCCCTCACCCTTAATTCCTTCCCATGCATTGAAAGCCAGCACTGGTCTTTTGGCTTTCTGGCCCTTTGAGAAATAAAGGTTTGAGCTGAGCTGACCCCCTCACACCCTCTTGACTTCTGACTTGGAAACAGCAGCAGCTCTGACCTGGCCACAGAGCTCGTCTGGATGGGCCTTCCTCTGCTGGGATCCCCCAGTGCTACCCCTTTCCTCTGGCTCAAAGGAGTGTCAAAATTCTTACCTGGGAACTTGAGTCAGAAATTCTTGGGGAGGCGCTCAGCAACGTGGGTTTTCACAAGCACCTCAGGGAGGACAGCTACGCCCTTTGTGGAGGGCCAGCTACGCAAAATGGAAATGTGGAGCCCCTTATTCAAAAAATATTAAGAATCTCGGGATGGCAACAGCAGGCCACCAAACCTTTCTGACTGTGGGGTCTTTGAGTGTGGGGTCTTTCTGAGTGTGGGGTCTCTCTGAGTAGGGTGTTTCTGAGTGTGGGGTCTTTCTGAGTGTGGGGGTCTTTCTGAGTGCAGGGTCTTTCTGAGTGTGGGGGTCTTTGTGTGTATGGGGTCTTTCTGAGTGCGGGGGTCTTTCTGGATCTGGAACCCGTGAGACTGTCCAGGTCGCCCTTGCTGACACCAATGAGCAGTTAAGTTTGAGACTTGCTGTTGCAGCCAGCGCTGACACTCACTGACCCAGGCGTTTCTCACTGGCTCCAGGAACAGTTCCGGGCCTTGGCAGGGTTCACCTTCTCACCACCCCAGATCCGCTATGCACGGGCTGCCATCCATCACAGGGACCTGAGTGACCTCTGGAAGTCTCTTCTCCTGGCGCTTCCCTCCTGGTTCTGGCCCATTCAGGCACACGTTAACACTCTAGTTACTGTCTCTATCGCTATGAGTACTTTGTTCTGACCTCAACCAGATAAAAGAAAATCTCACATCCATATTATTGTGAGGATAAAAGTTTCTCACGCACACATTCACATATTCACACACACACACATTCACACGCACACAGACACATTCACACTCATACACTCACATACACACACACTCTGACACACACGCTCAAACACTGACACACACTCTCTCACACACAGTTTTCCCAAGTGCTCCTCAGCTCCTGACCCCCACATGTGCACACACACACACACACATATTCTCCGACCCCCACATGTGCACACACACACACGCACACATTCTCCAACCCCTGCATGTGCACACACACACATACATTCTCTGACCCCTGCATGTGCACACACACACACACACACACACATTCTCTGACCCCCGCATGTGCACACACACACACACACACACATTCTCTGACCCCCGCATGTGCACACACACACACTCTCCAACCCCTACATGTGCACCCACACACACACACACATTCTCTGACCCCCGCATGTGCACACACACACACACACACGCACATTCAAAGAGGACCCTGCCTCGGCTTTGGCCTGGCCTGACCAGGGTGACAGCGTGGTGTGCAGCAGCCCCTCTACTTGTCCTGGAAGCATTGGGCCCTGGCAGGCTGGTGGGAGCCAGGGACCTGAGGCTGGAGCCCGAACCTCTCCTGGTTTCCCACTCTCCACAAACCTCACCTGTCAGATGTCCAGACGTGACATCTGTTCCCAGCCCAGAGGCCTCTGCTACCCCTGACCGCTCACTGCACCTGCACTCAGTGGAGAGGCGAGTGTATCAGACAGCATCCACTCGGAGGGGAAAGGCAGCGTCCTGCGGGGTGTTCTGTCCAGGCAGCCTCTGCCCCTGCCCTCTATGCTCATGTCACCAACATTAATCCAGCAGCTACTAAGCTCCAATCACTGTGCAGAGCACTGGGGGTCACGAGGTATTAAAACCTAGTCTCTGCCCCTGAGCAGCCGTAGCTCCTGGAGATGGAGAGAGCTGTCGCAGTGACACGTTGCAACCAGCTCATGCCAGTTTGTACCAGCTCATGAGAACCTATGGCTAAATTTTCAAGAATATTACAGGCCCATCATCAAAGCATCAGTAGTTTGAAATGATCATCCCTGGAATAGTTACACCATGGAAATTGGCAAATACCCCAAATCAAGCCCTTTTGCGGAGGACCACTGCAGTTGTGTGATGCTGGCTGAGTGACCCATCCTCTCCAAGACCTCCTTTTCGTATGTTTAAACAGGATAATAATTGCACCTCCTTCATTGACTACTGTGAGGATGAAACGAGATCATCCACAGCATGCTCCCCATTCACTGCCTGGCATAGAGAGAGTGCCCAACAGCTCGTAACTGCGGTCATTTTTAGAACGTCATGATGTTGTTATGCAAATAAGTAACTCCTTAGTGTGCTTGGTATAGCTACAGTGCTAGAGAAGCATAGATGAGGAAGTGGTTAACTCTGCATGGGGAACAGAGCAGCAGTTCAGGAAGGCCTTGAACCAAGCCCTAAAGAATAAGTTGGATGTGACCAAGTAGACCAGGTAGACAAGATGGACCAGGAAAAGAGAGGTTGTCCAAGAAGAAGGAATGGTGTGTGCAAAGGTGGGGAGGTATCGGGGGCTTACAGAACAGTCTGAAACAACAGGCCTACGGGGCTAGCAAGGGAGTCACACGGCGCACATGCTGTCAGACCCTTGGGAAACCACAACGTCAGCAGGTATTCTCCCTAAACCCTATACCCTGCCCACTTTGCAGGGGAGCATATCCAAGCTGGGAGGGTCTACAGTCTTTGAATCACAGAGCAGGTCAGCGGCTCAGAAGAGCTGAGCCCAAGTCTGTTCTGCCTGACTCCAGGACAGAACAGGGAGAGGACTCTGTTTCACACCAGGATCCAGGATGGGCCATCCCTCCAAAGATGGTGGCAACTGTCTCCAGGAATCCCCAGCAGACAGAGCTCAAGGAGGAGTGGCTGCTGACCTCCAGCACCAAGCCTCACAGTGCCAGGAGCATTGGCCACTCCCAAGATTCCAAGATTCTCAGATGTATGTCCCATTGTCCCTGAGGCTTCCACAGCTGGTCCTCACTATCCCATTCCCTTCTAGTCCTTTCCACGTGAGAGTGGCCAGGGCTCAGTGGCATGCTCACCTCCTCACTGGACACACACGTTTATTCTGCATCCCTCTGATGGCTGGCATGGGATGACACAGCCACTCGGGGAATGACTGAAGAGATGAGTCATAAGAGAGATATTAGTCTGTTCTTCACCTCCACGGCCTCCCCGGCTGTTCAGCCCTCCAGCGGTCATCCCTTGCTAGCAAATTCATGTCATTCCTCTGTTGGCCAGAAGGGGTCACTGCTCCCATGTGCCCCTAAACTTCCCGGGTAATGGGATCCTCTGCGCCCCACCTCCAGCGGCGGAGCCGACTTCTCGGTCCTCCACAACTCACCAACGGCTGTGTCACCTTCAGAGAGGCTTGCTGGCTGCTGAGTTCCAGCAAGCGAGGATGACGGACAAGGCCGCGTGCCAGCAATGTTCTCATCGGGTAAGCCAACCAGCTGCCCTTTGCCGGGCAGTGGTCAAGGTCTGCAGATGGAGCTTGCCCATTGTTACGGCTATTTAAAATCATGTTTAAATAATATGATGCCATCATCTCTAATGCCATGGTGATCACCACTTAACACAGGCGGGGGAGAGGAGGCAGGCTCGGCCTCTTTCGTACACCTTTGCCATTCTAAGGACAGCCAAAACCAAGACAGGTTG